CCCATGGGACGGGGGTAAAGCTGGTAACAGTAAGCAGAGACCTTAAACAAAAGATCTGCAAGTCAATTTAGGTTCAACAAGCAGAGTTTGCCTCTTGTCCAACAGAGCACACGTATTCCTATTTCTAAACCAGTAGCAAGGAGTTAACATGCAGATACTATTTTCTCCATGCCTGGAATGTAATTTGATAGCATTCCTGAACTCTCCAACTGTACTGCATCAAGTAGTTGTAACAGTTTCCATGGTGCTTTGTAGACTGTAGTTTCTGGAATATTTAACAACCCTGCAAGTGCAACCAGACCTCGTTGCATGTACCCTTGCTGCAGGAGAGCTTGTTGTCTAGATTCTACCCTAACAACTTCCATTGAAGACATCCTTACCCAGGTGCAGCTTCTCTGATTAATGAGCATACATTCACTACTCATTTGCACCTAGCTAGGTTGCCAACACACCTGGGAGAAAAGTGTTTCCTACTAGAGGCTCACGTGGATGTTATTTGCTAGGTGATGTTATTTACCTCCATGCCTTGAAAGCTTCAGAAGCCCACTTCCACACATTAATCCTCTATTAAAGGGACACAGGACATTTTTCTGCAGGCAACACTAGCCCCCAGTGAGGCCCGTCAGATGTCACTTACAAATTTGCAACTTTGTTTATTCGAGTGCAAGATGTCATTGCATTTTGAAAGGAACTGATTCTCTTCAAACATCAACAAATCTGCAGAAGTACTCAGAGAAACCACTTATTGAATATGATCATCCATTCCTTCCCCATATTACATATTACCTGGATTTTTCTCATGATGACATCTCTGGACAGCTTTTAAGGTATATTGCTGCTTTGCAGTTTGTTTTTTAATAAATTCAAAATCAACCCTTGCCATTATCTTGTTTCCCACTGCTAAATAGCACACTTGTTACATACAGAGTTAAACAAACATCCTGCTACTTCATTTCTTCTTATCTTTGTGAAGAATGGGATATGCTGTGGCCAGGCCCAGAAACCACATTTGTACTAAACTATTATGCAAATTAAGATACTGGTTATGTACATGAAGAGAAGTAGGATGAAAAATGAATCAGAGGTTTCACCAACGTAACCTTTTCCTTCAGATTCTAATCTCATACGAACACACTACAATTCATAGGAATCGGCTGATAGATACCTATGAAACACAAATTCTAGCTACATGAAGTAGTTAAAGTCAGAGGGTTTTCTACACACCATTCATTTACAGAAATACTTCTCTAAGATTTCTCATTACTTGGGATGAAGTCACAAGAGACACTTCTAAGGAACAAGTTGTTCAGGTCCTAACTACTCCTGTTGTTTTAGAAAAGCTCCTGAGGTACTTGAAGTTACTATACGAAAGCTCCCCTCAACTGACTTCACAGAGAAATATTCACAAGGGTCTATATCAAGGCATTTACAGTGCTATTATACAACTTACATTAACACTGTACGAATTATTTTCTTCATGTAGCCCATTCTTAAGAAAGAAAACAAAAGCAGTGAAAGCTTCTAATTTATAACCAAGTGCTCACAAATCAGAAACAAACTAAAAATAGCAACTTTCAGGTTACCCATTTATGCTTACATATCATATAGAATCACAGAAAGGAATACATAATGCTTAGACTTTGAGATCTTTTGCCTTGGAAGCACAGTAAAGAACAAGACTAAAGATCTTTATTAAGCTTCCTACAATAGCTTTAGTAATGATACCGTTTGTGCTCATTGCTTACTTAGCCCCAGAATTCCATGCACCAGAGTGGTTCTAACACTGGTCTCAAGATACCCAAAAGAAGACCAATATTAAAAATTAAAAAGTCAATTAACAACCTTGGGCCAATTACTGCTACTAGCCTGACTTACCTCACAGGACATAAATACTAGCCTTCTCAGCACTCTGAAACAAACATTACCAATTTGGATTTTTAAAGCAGGAAGACAATATTTGTACGTCTACTACACTGTTTCAACCGCTTCTGCCTATGAAGATCAATCTTCACCTATAGCAGTCATTTCACAACAATAAAGGCACTTAGATAGGCAAAAACACTGTTACAAATAACCTGCAGTTTTCAAACTCTCACATGCACAACAACCAACCACTAAAGCCTTACTTACCCCCACACAGTATAAGCCTACAGCAAACTATGATTCATAACCTTAAGCAACAACCACACTCAGCAACTGCTGGGAAGAGCTCTTATAAGGAGCAAGCCTCTCTAAGAGGAAGTGACTAAGAGCTCGAGGCTGCAGCCTCACTTTGTTGCAAGCACCTCTGAATACAGGGGCCTTACTTTTATATGCTTTGGGTGAAGTAGCAACTCTTGCAAAAGCACCGGGAAGGGAAGTGGCTAGCCACATTTAGGTCAGAAGTACTTAAAAGATCAAGGTTGTTATATACATATAACTTTTATTATTTCCATCATTGTGAAGTCCAAAGATATGATGGAGACAGTGCTCCCTCTAAGCTAAGTTAGTGTGAGCTAGCTCACAGTTTTTTAGCCTCCAGCTCACAGATTTCTGTCTTATCTTAGGAAGGATGGCTCCAGAGCAAGCTAAGTTATGCAGCAGCCAAACAACTTTAATGCCAGTAGCTCGCAAAGTAGAATTTTTACTCACAAGACTCCACAGCTTAGAGGGAGCATTGGATGGAGGAATATTTCATATAATGGAAAACTATCCTGAACATACTTTCAAGCTTGTAGATCCCATTATAATTATATGACAGGGCTTAGAGTTGAAGTGCAACACTACAGCACCGTCTGTCCCTTTAATAATGGCTTAATG